AATATAAATAAACATTATTACTTATTATTAGTAATAACACCAAACTGTAAAATCTTGGTTCAAAAAGTCTTTAAAATGGAACAGTAATTATTTGTTCTGTAACGAAAAAAAATTTTCTGCAAGGTGTAAAGCCTTGTGCAACAAACCCAGGGCCGATTTGAAATGTCGATCCACTCGGAGATCACGTTACCGCCAATTTTTTGCGCCATCACTATGCTACCCTCCTTTTATGCATGGCCAACAATACATATGTCTAATGACATAGTATAATATGGGATTGTTTGCGAGGATCATACCTATATACAACTACTCTTTATCAGCAACAACCTCACATGACATCCTATCAAATATAATGACGACGAAAAGAAAAATTGGCTTATTCTTGTGACGGAGTTGGACATAATGTTGAGAGAAAATTCAAAAAAACAAAGAAATCAATGCAGATTATCAGGTTATTCAAATATCATTTCGTCATGAACAAATCCAGTGGCTCGCAATAATGTGACTTCGTTCCAAGAAAAACGAGATCTTTATCTTTACAAATTTTCACGGATTAAACACATTCAAATTGCAACTGTAACTAGTTTTGTGTGGCTTATTTACACGCAAATGACATTATTAGAAGTTTTAATTAGAGCTTGCAGATTACTTATTCAATATCAAATATCGATTCGAATATTTGCAGAATGATTTATTCATATAGTTATTAGATATGAATATACTTGCTGGCAAAACCCGGCCAAATCCCAAATTCAAAAAAAATATTTGCTATTTGTAAAAGATTAAATCAAAAAAATTGTCTTAATATTTTGCAAATATATTATATATAACAATAAAAATATCTATATTTGTTTAAACAAAGATTATTAATAAAGTTTTTGAGAAATTAATTTGGGATGAATTTGGGATTTGGGCGCGGACAAATTCAAACAATAGTAATTTGGGATTTTGCCAACATGTATAGATATGAAGCAACTAATAATATATATGTGAAACAGTCAACGACTGAAGTTTCACATGACAAATAATAAAAATTGTTCGAATAAATTTTTGCTTATTCGAATAAGATTTGTTTATTTGATTATTTGTAAGATAACTATTTATTCGAATATTCGTCAGATAACTATTTATTCGGATATTCGTTGAATACGAATATGAATTCGACGCTCTAGTTTAATCATTTAAAAATTTATATAATCTCATCTATATATTTTTTATGATGATGTATTATATTATAGGTGTAATATTATGGAACTTACAAGTGGGATTTCATTATTTAATAATCTCAAAGATAATATTGCGATAATAGAGAAACAATTATTGAAAATACACAACCAGTTATGCTAATCTTTATTGCAGATGCTGGTCGTCCTTTCTGAATAAACGCCCAATACTGGATAAAATTTTGATGGAGCTTACAACTTTATCAACAGAAACAAGCATTGAATTTATTAATGATAATCTTGTTGAAAGTATGTAATAATTCATATTCAATAAAAATTTCTCAGTCAGTTGTTATGGTATTAAATTACTAATCAAATAAATTTGATTGAATTTTGATTGTAGAGTTCTTGATAATATCGACAGTGAAACGTTTGATACTAATTGTAATAGTATCGATTTCGTATCAATTGAAATAGATCCTAAAGAATTTATTACTATTACAAAAAGTATTGAATTAAAATTAATTAATGGAATTTAGTGATAGATTGTACTGTGCCTTTGGATTTATTATTAAACATTTCTAATAAAGTTCAAAAGAATTTACACATACAAGATATACAACTTATACAAGTAAACCAGGCAATTTTAAAAATGAAAATTATACATTACGTTAAACTGAAAAACTGAATACGATCATTCAAGACGAACTAAACTATTTATTTATTTGATTAAGTAGATTGAATTTGTTAATAATTTTAATTAACCGTTAATGCATTATTCCTAATCGTCTATATTTGTTTTTCATAATTTATGTTAATAGGAGGATCAAATTCAGTTATCCAACACTTTTTATGGAGTCATGGAAAATATTGCATGAATCTAAAATATGGGTAAATGTTGCATTTATTATTACTTATAGTTGTATGAAAGACATCTTTTTAATAACTTCAATTTCGTGGAAAAGAAGATAGTGTAGATGATGGAATTGTTTCAATTTAAAAATCTTTTGCCTTAAAAAAAGGAATAAAAACAAGAGCAATTCTCATAACTGGTTTTTTAATGACTTAATCCTAGAATATGTGTTCTTATTAAAGTTGGTACTAAGCCAGGATACAGTACATGAAAATTAATTTATTTACAATAACTATAGCATTACAAAACTTACAATTTTATAAATTATAATATTTAATTTATGGAAAGCATTTAAGTTGCAGGATTTAGAAGCTCAAATATTTTGAACATAAAAATGTCAAATATTTTGGATAAACCATTTGAATCAATATTTGGTTATACATATTACATCTTCAAAATATTGCAAAAAATAACGAATGAACATTTGTTCTTCCTAAGAAGAATATTAATCTGAACAGACTTCTTTATATGAATTATTTCAAAGCATAAACGAACAACATTGAATTTTTATTATGAAAATTTATCTCAAGCTTCTCAAGCTGAAATTGAAATACCAGAAAATATATCAGATTTTATTTTTCAACAAAAAAGAGATTTAAATGAATATTTTTTTGTTAGCTTTTATGCAACTACACGTCTTTACAATATTTGGACGAGTGGACACTCTATTATCCGTAAAGTTTGCTTGCAAAATAGAAATGATTCATCAAGCCTATAAATTCCTTTAATCGATCATTCGAGCCTGTCATAAAATATGTAAAGTAGTTTATTACCTGAAAAAAAAAATTTTTTAAATAATAAAAAATGGTCATGAATTTACCAATTCAGTCAATAAACGTTTTTCCCCGGACTACCTTTTTTCTGCGCTGACTTATCAAAATTTTATAAATATTAAAATGAATACTGGAATAAAGCATTATTCAAGTGTTTTCATGCTTTTTATTATGGATTTTCATAGTCGACACACATTTTAGATTCGTCTCAAACAGTGATTGAGGTTTTTATTTTGATCTATCGTTGCAATTGAGCATCACTATAGTTACTAGAAAATCACACTAATGATGATGTTTGAACAAATCTCATTAACATCGTCACTTGCATTATTGACTTTTATTCAAAATGTTACTGTGTTGTGACAATAACAAAAAATTACGGCATAACTAGCTCTTAGGCCCGGGCGTTGCCCCGGGTGTGAGGTTCTAATTTTTTTCTAATTCTTAGGTTTAAATTTTA